ATATATAAGGGCTAACTGTGTCAGAGAGTATAATATATATATATATATATATATAAAAGAAGCTAGTATTATCCATGGTTATTGCAAATTTTTATCCATTTAAAATTCTTTTGTCATCATTTTCTTGCCATCCCATTCTGAAGGTGAGGAGATGAACCACAAATTCTAGAGTAAGGTTGTAAGTGGTTCAAGCTGACGTGTGAGCCGGCTCGATAAGTGGCTTGTGAACTAACTTGATGAGCTAACAAGCCAAATTCAAGCTAGTCACGACTCGATTCGTTAAATCTTGAGTTGGCTCGTTTTAAAAAATATTGATAAAAAATATACTCAATATATATTTGAAGATTTTATTTTTAAAATATAAAAAATATTTTGAAATATTATTTTTATTTTATATTAAGTGATTTCTTATTATGTTTCTAATAATTATTCATTTTATTTGTTAATTTATTATAAAACTACCTTAAATAGGGGTGTAAAGTCGAGCACAAGCGAGCTAATTTTCTTTCTTTTATATTAAGTGTATTTGTGTTCAACTTGTTAATTTTCTTTTATTTGTGTTTGGCTTGTTTATAAATCGAGCTTAAAAAATTTTTGTATTCGACTCATTTTTTTAATGAACGAATTGAATATGAGCTACTTATCTAGCAGAACACAAGTTATTAGCAAACAAATTTTTTTATTATTCAAATATATCATTAATTTAGCTTTTATATATAATTTAATTAATTCTACCCAACATGCGCCGAACATGATACAACTCTAGTGTTCATCTCATTTATAAATCAACCTAAAAAATTTGTTTGTGTTCAGCTTGATTTCTTAACAAACGAATCGAGCACGAACTACTTAACAAATCGAACACAAATTATTTGCGAACGATAAGCTTTGTTGATAGCCATAAACTTAAATTAATATTTTTCTTTCTCTTTTATAATAAACAAATTTGTTCTTGAGCCGGCTCGAAATCGTAGACTTAAGCTCGAGCTCGAGCTCAATAAAATTACGCAAGCTCAAGCTCAAACTCATGTTGGGGATTGCTCCTGCTTGACTTTGACTAGCTTACATCCCTGTTCTAGAGTATTCTTCATTTAATGTCAAAGTCATAATTCGGTTGGAGATATATTTGCATTAAACCTTTATATCCTTCCCTGCCCTGCCCTACAGTCCCACAGCCACGTTAGTAGATTCCAAGAAAGATTTTTCTAACGTGAGTGGTGACTTCTAATGTCATCCAAAAAGAAGACATTATGAGTGGAAGCAAAACAAGCCAATGATCGTTTTACCCGTCGGAATTTATAGAAAAGATTGGTATTAGTTTGCTTCACAATTAAGCATTTACGTTATCTTCTCTTTAGAAGCTTCTTGTTGTTCCTCATTCAGTGCAGTAGTTGAAAATTTATAGAGATAAAATATCCCTCATTATGTTTTGTCCTTATAAAAGTGATAAAATGATGATGATGAAAATGAAGATGACGACTATAAATGCAATGTATAAAATGATTATCAAGAATTTCGCAAGAAGTGACTATGAAATGAAAAATGAAGATTTTTTCTTTAGAGATAATGTAGATCATTATGTTGCATATGCAACCACTCAAGATGAGGGGAAGTAATCCATTGATTTATTATTATTATTCATGAATATTTTATTAAAACTTTGTACAGAAAAAATTGATCACACACACACACACACACACACATACATATACATATATATATATTTAATAGGAATTAGATAAGGTAAATTTAATACTTAATTAATGAAAATGTTTGTTTATGAAATTAAATAAATATCATGTTTATGTTAGACTTCTGATTTAGAGGAGTTGACGTCAAAGTAAATTCAAACATGAATCAACCAACATCGAAGTAAGTACTCGTACTTTTAATCTATAGTTTATGTATACTGCTTGTGAATTAAATTGAATATGATGATTACATGAATAATATGTTTACTTGGACTGCTTGTATGTGCATGATTAACTATGATGAATTTATACTTTGTTGGTATTAGTGGGAGAACATTAAGGTACCCATAAACGTATATGAAAAATGATATTTATATATATCTTAATTGACATAATCTTTTGACTGTGCTCCTGTCATGGTTGTACAAATACATAATGATATTGATATGCTATTGAAATTGTTAAGTCATTTCAATACCATCAAATGTTTTTATTAATTTATTAAAAACTTGACTGACTGTCGGTCGTTTATTTTGGAAATAATGATTTTTGTAAATATGAAGATAATTTTAATATAAATATATGTTTTTTTTTATTTTTTAAGTAATATTTTAATTTTGAAAATAGATGAGTTCAAACGAGTTTCACATATTGAATAGTTTGGATGACCGAGCGCGATACGATATATAATACACTATCCCGAAGGATAAGTATTCCAATGATAGTAGACTCAACCACCTAAACTAAAGAGTTTGTGACATTCGTTTGGTCCGCGAAACCTTTTATGTATGGTCGACAAGTTTCCCTACCTAATATAAGGATTAGAGTTTATTTTACCTGGGTTCCAAGTTCTCTATAAAGGCAAGCCCCTATAGTTAATTCATCTTAAATGACTGGAGTCACTTAAGAAGGCTCTCGATTAAGATCAGTGGTTCTGCTTTCAAGATTTCAAAGTTTAAGTTTCCAAAATTGGATAGATGAAAGTCAAATGGGAGTGACTTGAATATGAACAATTATTTTCAGGAGTCAAAAAGAGGAAATAATAGGGGAAACCACAGATCCGAGGAAAACCTCAGTGGTTTCCCTACGATCCTATTGTTTGATATTATGTATTTGAAATGATGTTATTCAATGTTTAATCCTGCAATTTATTTTTAAAATTTAGGACTTACATTCACACGATATCTGATCGTGCTAATAACCTAGAAAGATAGAAGGATTTACACTGTACTATACGGTAACCTCGGAATCTTAAAAGTATTAGGACTTATAATTGCATAATAGGGTTCTGCAAAAGCCTAAAGATAATATGTGAGGATTCACATTGCGCTAAACAAACAATCTTAAAGTCCTATGAGTTGTTATTTAAACTAAGGAAAATGTTTAGTTGTCGTAGACTTATTGTATTGTTGTAGATCGTCATCCTCCGTCTGCTACATCCTGGTCGTGCTGCCCACGAAGACTTGCTCCATGTCCCATGTAGTAGCAGTTTCAAGTTTAGTGTCTTATATGTGAGTGTGCAATATTATTATTTGGTGACTTACTATTATATATTTTCTAAACCAGACTATATTCTAAAGGTTTTGTAGTTAACTTAAAACATGCATAAACAAATTATGTTATAAGGAAGTGTGGTAAATGAAAATAGTATAAAGGAAAGACAATATAAAGAGCAATAAAGGAAATGCAGTAAAGTGCTATAAATGCACTGTAAACTTTGGGTACTTAAGTTTCTTGTTATTGTTGCACCTGTAAATGAGATCATCGTCGCAGGTAACAATATAATAGAGAAATTCAGCTAGCAGGACAAACATGTGTTTATGTATAACAGAATAAATGACGGAGTAACACATGAAAAACCTCGAGGAAAACTAAAATCGACCCAAAGGGACTCGAAACAAATCGTAGGAAAAAGACACAAACAAATAAAACAAAACACAATGTCACATATAAATGACTAAAGGTATGAGATTTATATGTGACATTGAGAATGTTTCCAATTGTAAGGAGGATTTGAGTGTAAGATTCAAGCTCAAATCTCAGAGTATTGAGTTTCATTTTAGGTCAAGTTATGATGAGAATTTCAATATTTGATTTAATTAAATCAGTCATGAACCACATATCTGCAATTGTGATATCTTCCTTCATGTTTATTTATGCAAATGTTTGTGATAAAGTTTGGGGGTATTTAATTTTGTGAAAATTCTTTGCCCTTGTTTGAATTTTAGAACTTTAAAAATTGGATTCTCTTTCCTTATATCTTTATATCGTGGTGAATTTGATTTAAAGATTGAATAATCCGAAATGATAAAATTACATAAAAAGGTGACTTAAATTCTATTTAGAGTACTCTGACACTGTCGGAACTTGAAATTTGCTTCTTAACAAAAGCTTTTTTAATCAAGATATTTGATTACAGAGAATACTTTGTTGTATGCTTGGCTCTGTGCAGTTGAAATGGTATATTTAAAAGCATAACCACTATTAATAGAATTCTGAGATTATAGTTTATATGTTATAAACTTTGAAGAAGAAGGAATGACATGATAATTTCATCTATAAATGTAGTGGGGAATTCAAAATCATTATGAGCAGATCCAGGTATAGTAATCATCTTAATTGATTGAAAAAAGGGATTATTCTTAAAAAAGATGGAGATTGAAGAAAATCAATCCAAAAGTGAGTTCATGAGAACTATATATATATATATATATATAGGGCTGTCAAAAAAACTTATTGTTCGCAAATAATTCGTGTTCGGTTCGTCAATGAGTTCGTGTTCGGTTCGTTCGATAAGTAAACGGGACGAACGTGAACAAATTTTTTTCATTTGGTTAGTTAAACAGGTCAAACAAGAA